CTCCGGCGGTTTTGGCGCTTCCAGCTGGTTCCGAGGCGCTGGCCTGCGCGTGGGGGGGAGACTTGGCCGAACGGGACCCAGAGCTCCAGAAGGCTTGGAAGGGATTCCTCGTAATCGATGATTCCGACATCCTCTGCGCCATACTGTGGACGAAATCCTGCACCAAATTGATACCACGGGGAACTATTGCTTGCAAGGGAATCATCAGTGTTTCTTAGCTGGTGCGAAATAGAGTTCGTCCAGGGTTCCACACTAAAGGGAGACTTCCACCATGCATGGCAAAGGAGGCCATGGCAAAAACGTTTTCCAAAGAGTTCTGAGACATTGTCCGAACAAGGGCAAGGCTTCATGAGGCTGTCGGCCTCAATCTCTGCCGGCACATTGCCCCTAACTTTGGTGCATTTTGCCAAGGGATGTTAGGACTCTCTTTTTTTTCGCCAACCAATGGGTTTTCCGAAATAAACCACTAAAAGTTAGTCACTTTTAGCAGGGGAGCAGAAAGCGACAGAGCTAAGCGCATAGCCCTCGCAAATAATGAAGACCTGTCCGCGCCTTGACGCCGGCTGCCGCGTGAACGTGGGCATCCCCGCTTTTGCTCCTAGAAAATTTCACGAGCCATGGAGTGGAAGGAAACCAAAAGGCCTCACCTCCTAGAAAGTCGGAGTCCTCAAACTCTTGTGAGGTTCTTAGAAGGAAAGGGTGGAGCTTGAGCTCCGTGGCCATGTGTTCCCTAATGTAAGCGCTGTGCCTAAGTCATGCCTCAGCAACCTGTCCATTGGAGCGCTGCGTGTCACCAAGCTGATTGTGTAAAGATGTGTCACGCAACAACTCGAACACCCAAAGGAAAGGTTGCCAGCAACACATGAAACCATTGGAACACTTGTTGCCAAAGGTTGTGCTCTCAAGCGCTGGGTGTGGACTGTCTAAGCCATGCTTTGCGACCTTTCCGGAACGCAAGCCACGATTGGGAAAATGTTTCTCAGAAATCATGCCATCTTTCCATCTACACTGCGGAAGCTGTTCCAAACCAGGTACTGTGCCAGTAATGGGACTGATCATAACTAAGTTGCTGCTTCACAAACGAGATCTAAACCAAGATTAAAAGGAGATCTGAACAAGACCCTCAGCAGCCTGGATTGACTGCTAAACCCCCAGCAGCCCACTGGTATCCACAGTTCTCCTCAGCTTGCACTTTGGAGCCCGCAAAAAGACCCCACAAAAAAAAGCAGCAATGCTACTTCTTCCAGGCACCTGTCCTGACATGGCAGGCACAGCAACTTCCGGCACTCAAAAAAACCGAATGTTGACCCAGGACCTATTTAGAAACAGTCCCATTATTAGGGGTGGTCTGAATCCCCACTGAAAGGGGACAACCCTCTATGAATCAATCAGGTTTATTTATCCGGGGTTAATATTACTTTTTAGCAGCAATGTTCGCCAAAGTGCCGCTGAGTTCCTTTGCGTTTGAGCCTCCCATGGTTTAGTCTCTTCTGGGCTTCTGAGGACCTTTCCTTCGGAGAGAACAACCGTCTCATCAGACATGCACCATGCGCTTGAGGCATCATGCAAGCCTGCCAGAGCGTAGCATGCTCAAGCGCCGCGCAATGAAGCCAAAAGAACAGGCTGAAACTGAAGCAACATTGCCTCAAGTGCACACCTTTCAGCCATCCTGATTTGCCGGGGGCCTTGTGAAGTGTGGAGGTTGGGATCCAACAGTGTGCAAGCATCGGTTTTGGCTCGATTCCCCCGAGACTCAAGGTGAAGTTGGTTCCTTCATGTTGCTTCTGTTTTGCACAGCAGTGAATTCAGCCTCAAGTCTTGTTGCGTGCCCTCAGGTCGACTTGTTGGTCAGGGAACGTGGTTCCAAGCACTTTGGGAAAACTTGCCAGTCCGAAACCCAAACCTCAAGGACTCTTCTTCCAGCGTCACTGGATTTCCCCTTCAAAACGAAGAATTTTCTGGACCGCTTTTGAAGCTATGAGCTCCAAAACCACCCCCAGCACCACCACAACCACCACCACCACCACCACCACCTCCACCACCACCCCTCCACCCCTCCACCCCTCCACCCCTCCACCCCTCCACCCCTCCTCCACCCCTCCACCCCTCCTCCACCCCTCCACCCCTCCTCCACCCCTCCACCCCTCCTCCACCCCTCCACCCCTCCTCCACCCCTCCACCCCTCCTCCACCCCTCCACCCCTCCACCCCTCCACCCCTCCACCCCTCCACCCCTCCACCCCTCCACCCCCAGCTCCTTCCACCCCCAGCTCCTTACGTCACCCCATCCCCGTCCACCCCCCCACCGCCTCCACCCCCTCGCACTCACAGGCTCCTCGCTCGCGGCCAGCCAGGCTGCCGGCGCCCCCGACGGCCCGCGGCGCCCGGCGCTCCGGCTCCGGGTCGAAGCTGGGGACGGGGCCGTGCAGCACCCGGAGCATCATTGCCTTGCCGCCAATCCGGTGCCCAGAAAAAAAACCGTCCAAGACGTGGGGCTTGCCCAGGTCCGGATTCTTTGAGAAACGGGAAGGGATGGAAAAACCGTTTTGCCGCCGGGTTCCCCAGAAAGTGGTTGGGTTGCTTCAAGGATGCATCCGACCACCTGCTTTCCAAGGGAAGTTCTCCAAACGTACCCGCCAAGGACCCTGCTGCGTGAAAACCAGACACCCCCCCCCCAAGACCAAGAGGTCTTAGAAACCCACCAGACACACGACAGAAATGGTGAGGTATGCACCAAACCCCCAGAAAGGCCGCAGGAAAGCCGGGACACAATGAAGAATAGGTCTGCCGGTGAAAAAAGGCAAATGTTGCCTGCCAACCAGTGACTGAGAAATTGGTTTGTCCATCAGTTTCTCGGGGTGGTGACTTGAAATGGCTTCTCAGGTGCGGTCAATCGGCTCAGTTCCTCAACCAGTTCGGCTGCATCTTGGGATGGTGCTGTCTTTGGCTGGTCAAGAAAAAGGTGAATCAGCACACACCTCGAGCTACGGGTTCCAATCACTTCCAATTCCTAGTTGGACAGCAGACCTGCGCAAGTCTACGCCCCATGCGCCTCCAGCGTGGCAATGGCTTCAGTCGCCTCGCCCCTCGGCTGAGCATGGTGCACGAGGTCACCTCGGAATCCAAAAACCCGGTGCAAACAAAAAAACAGTTCGAACGCATGGCTTAGGCTGTTGGAGACCGTGGCGATCTGCGAGCTGCATGCAAAGGTGAGCGACAAAAACGAATGACAAGGTGTACCTGAACTCTTCTGGTCAGAGTAATCCCTCTAGTCTTACTCTAGTCTAGACAGTCAGCGAGAGCCGCCGGATTCATCCGATGCGAGAATTAGGTTCAACACAACGGGATTGAAAAGGGAACCCGGCCAGCAGCTTGGCGCAGTCAACGTCGACGCCTCTGCTCACGTGTTTGGGTGTACGTTTCGAACAACGACAAAAAAGCAACAGGGGTAAAAGGGCACTACTGGGGGACCTAGCCACTGAACGTTTTGGACACGCAACACGAAAAGAAAAAAGCGCAGTGCCGAAGTCGTGGGCCGAGCTGGGGACGTCCGCCTGGGCTTCCCAGCCTGTAGACAAGGCCCTGGATCGCTCGCGGGATGGGCTGGGACTTGGCTCGCTCCTTGCCAAGGAAAACGGCACCCTGGGGCGCAACACCCGTGAACAGGAACCCTCCCCACCTGGCAAGTTCTAAATCAGGGTTGCAAGTTGCAGGCAAGAAAAAGGCAGCATGAAAGCTTCTCTGACGTTTGCCGGAGCGCTGCCAACTCGCGGGCATGCTGGTCTTGACGGCCAATTCCTCCTCTTGCATTGGCTTCGGGTGCTCCAAAGCCGGAGGCAGCTCTGAAACGCCCGGTGCACAGCCAACGGTTTCTGCACCCTGCAGTCCATCCTCTCGTGTTGACGCCGGTGAGCCCTGCAGAAGCAGTACACTCTCTAAAGTCTCTTGCTGCGCGTTGCCAGCTGCACCAGGCTGTTTCTGCGCCGCCGGAAGCTTGTCTTCTGCGAGGGCCTGCTCCGACCACCTCTCCTCATCGCTCCTGATCTCAGCAGCCTTGGCCCTCTGCCTCTCCTCCTCCTTCTCAACCACAGCAAGCTCAGCCAACCTTCGTTGCTCCTCAAGCTCCTCCATTCTCCTGGCCTCAACAACCTCGGCCGCGTCAGCGGCCTCAGCAAGTTGCGTTGCCTCCTCCCTTGTTCTGGCCTCAGACGCCTCGCTCTGTTGCCTTGCCTCCTCCCTTCTTCTTGCCTCAGACGCCTCGGTCTGGTGCCTGTCTTCCTCCCTTCGCCTGGCCTCAACAACCTCGGCCGCGTCAGCGGCCTCAGCAAGTTGCTTTGCCTCCTCCCTTCTTCTTGCCTCAGACTCTTCCTCCCTTCGCCTGGCCTCAACAACCTCGGCCGCCTCAGCGGCCTCAGCAAGTTGCGTTGCCTCCTCCCTTCTTCTGGCCTCAGACGCCTCGGTCTGTTGCCTGTCTTCCTCCCTTCGCCTGGCCTCAACAACCTCGGCCGCCTCAGCGGCCTCAGCAAGTTGCGTTGCCTCCTCCCTTCTTCTTGCCTCAGACGCCTCGGTCTGTTGCCTTGCCTCCTCCCTTCTTCTGGCCTCAGACGCCTCGGTCTGTTGCCTGTCTTCCTCCCTTTCTGGCCTCAACAACCTCGGCCGCCTCAGCGGCAGCAAGTTGCGTTGCCTCCTCCCTTCTTCTGGCCTCAGACGTTCGGTCCTGTCTTCCTCCCTTCGCCTGGCCTCAACAACCTCGGCCGCGTCAGCTGCCTCAGCAAGTTGCGTTGCCTCCTCCCTTCTTCTGGCCTCAGACGCCTCGGTCTGTTGCCTGTCTTCCTCCCTTCGCCTGGCCTCAACAACCTCGGCCGCGTCAGCGGCCTCAGCAAGTTGCGTTGCCTCCTCCCTTCTTCTGGCCTCAGACGCCTCGGTCTGTTGCCTTGCCTCCTCCCTTCTTCTGGCCTCAGACGCCTCGGTCTGTTGCCTGTCTTCCTCCCTTCGCCTGGCCTCAACAACCTCGGCCGCGTCAGCGGCCTCCGCAAGTTGCGTCGCCTCCTCCATTCTCCTGGCCTCAGCAACCTCAGCCACCTCAGCCGCCTCGGCCAGTTGCCTTGCCTCCCTTTGCCTGGCCTCCCTTTTTCTGGCCTCGGCAGCCTCAGCCACCTCAGCCGCCTCAGCCGCCTCGGCCAGTTGCCTTGCCTCCTCTCTTCTTCTGGCCTCAGCCACCTCTGCTTCTCTCCTTTCCTGCTCCGTCTTCGCCTTCCGCTCCTGCAACTTCGCAGACAGCTTGCCAGGAATCAGCGTCGCCTCCGTCTGCTCCTGCGCTTTCGCCGGATCTTTCTGCACCTCAAGGTTTGTCAACAGGCAGGACCTTGTTGGCATCCTTTCATTAAAAGGCGGCACAAGGTGGCACTAGGTCCCCATATTTGACCACACCCCACCTCCGCCTCGCTCACGCGCGCGGCGGGTCTCTCCGACCGCCTCTGCAGCTTTCCCGGCTCCGGCCGCTCCGAGAACTGCACGCGCGCGCTGGCGCTGCGCTCGAGCGAGACAAGCGGCCGGCGCTGCAGGGTGCCGGGCACACCCGCGCTCGCCCGGCCCGAGTGGCGCAGCGCCAACATCGCATTGGTCTCCTGGCGAGGTGCGGCTTCCTCCCCATGCTCAGCCTGCCGATGTCCAGAAACGGGGAGAAAAAAAAGAACAGCCTTTCTTGCCGGTACATAGAAGCCAAAATAATTACTCGGGGGGGGGGTTCACCCAATGTTTAAAATACGCCCACCTGCTCCAAGGCTTGCGCTTCCCGCTTCTCCTCGTGCTCCGATCGCCGTTCCTGGCGCTTCTTCAGCAGCAAGCTGCCGGGAAGCGCCTTCGGAGTTGCCTGACCCGCCAACGGCAAGAAAATGAGTGACTCTCCACGGTTCATTCCAGTCACCAAACTTCCTAGAACCCGATTCCTGCGGCTGCCAACATTTTTGGGGACCCAACCCCCCCAAGGTCCACCAAGCGACCACCACCCCGACTCTCCCAGCCTCCTCCAGTTCCACCTCTGCAAGCTTCCTCCCAGCCTCCTCCGGCTCCACTTCAGGCGCATTCGCAGGCTCTGGGAAAGTTGCTGGCGCCTGCGGGGCTTGGCGCTGGGTTGCTAGGCCCCCCGATTCTGTTTAAGCAACATCCGTTGGGTTTCTCCTCAAAGGGTACCATGGCCCAGTTGATTAACGGCCTCAGCCGCAAGGATGGCATGCCCCCGGGGCGAGGCCATCGGAATCCAGCCCTGCAGCGGCTCCCGGATGAAGGCGCCTCGGCAGAGGCAGCATGGTGTAAAGAGCTTACACGTAGAACCTCACCGGAAAGGCCTGGAAGACCGGCGTGTTCCATGTTAATGGAGTTCCATTTTGGACCGAGGCTACAACCGAGGATTGCAGTTTGACTGGAAACCTTCTTTCAAGGCGTGAGATTTGTCCGCCAAGCCGTGCTACATTCGAAATCATGCTTGTCACAAACCTACCTACCTGCCATCCATCCAACCACCCGCAACAAGAGGCCGGCAGGTTGCTCCAAAGGCTTCGGGAACCTCAAGCCCTTCCGTAGCACTGCCCATCTCTCACAATCGCCCTGAGTTACTACACAAAACGACGGAAAAAAGTTCCCACACATCGCCAAGACCCTCGCCAAAGTGCAAGCTCCGCCTTTCCCCCCCCACCCCCCCCCCCCCCGAAAAAAAAAAGAAAAAAAATAAGAAGCACCACCACCACCGCCACCACCACCACCACCACCACCACCAGCCCCAGCGGCAACCCCCCGCCCCCAGCTCCCCGAGGCCCCACCGCCGAGCTCGGCGCGCTCCGCCCGGATCTCCTGCACGAAGACCGTCTGCCCCGCCGGGATGGCGCCCAGCACCTCCGACAGCCGCGACTCACCTGGCGCCAAGCCCGACGCGGGGCGTCTTCAATGAAAATCGGTGAAACATGTGCGTGTAGATATATATATATATATATATGTGTGTGTGTGTATGTTACACCTATGGATACATAGGTATAGACATATATATATATATGTATATATATATGTGTGTGTGTTACACATATGGATACATAGGTATAGACATATATATATATATATGTATATATATATATATATGTGTGTGTGTGCGTGTGTGTGTGTACCTACATGTACAACATATGCACATATACATCTACATCTATGTGTATATAATATACTTATTTATTTATTTCCCAGATCTGCTAAAAGGCCAACTCTTAGTGGTTTAGTGGAACTGCCACTAAACCCTAAAAGGCCAAAAGCTAAGGGAACCACCAAGATCTATCCAAACACACATAGACACATAGACACATCTACACATACATACATCTTTGTGGTATATATGTCTCACTGGCTGAGTGGATGGCCAAGAAAAAGTCCAAACTTTTTCTGGACCACTAAAATGGTCCTCCCAGAAAGTGTAAAGTTCATGAACTCAGGGAGTGAGAATGTGTAGGCCATACATATATGTATGGATACCATGGCTCTTCATTATATATATATTGCTTGATCTGTTCCTTTGAGGGTTTCGTTTTCTACATGCGTATAAGTCTTTGCTGCACGTGCACGCCGGCAACTGCAAGAGCGCACCTTCGGTCCCCATACCAAAGCCGGGTAAATACAACAAGGAAGGCCCCAAAACGCTGGGTTGTGGCCACCTAGAAGGGCAAGCGGGTTATGTGTCCACCATCCAGTTTGTTGCTTCTCCAAGGGTGTAAAAAGCATAGCTTGTTTCGATAGAAAATGGAGACGCAGAAAGATGGTGTGGTGTTCGACGCGGGAGAGTTTGCCAGCCTTTGCAGACAACGGCCTTCTGGTGTGTCCACCACCATCCTGCGGGCCAAGCGCATCTGCGCTCCACTGGCATCTTCCCCCCACCCCAGCCCACCCTTGAGCACACCCCACGCGACGGAAAGCCTGGGGTAAAATCAACAGCAGACTGCTCATGTTTCTCGGTTCGCCGTGAATGCTGAAGCTTTGCAAGGCTGGGCGCTCTTTGCTTGGGCCTCTATGGCTTTGTTCCGGTTTCCCTTTCAAACAATCTGTCTCAAACAATCAAACCGGATCCTTGCCCTCAGGCTTGCCTTTGCCCCCAATCTCCGGGATCACCTGCGGCCTGAGCCCTAGAACCTCCCCGGAAACCGGAGAGATGGTTCCAGCTCTCTGAACCATGGAGTTTCTGAACAGGAGATTCCTCTACAAACAGCCCTGGCCGCTCCCAACTGTTCCCAACTCCCAAGTCTCGGAGCCTAGCCCGCGGGCGCGCCAAGATGACCTCAATGCCCCCAGTAAACTGGTTCATTCTGAGAAACGACTAGGACCCTTCCCCCCCCCAAAAAAAAAAAACGGCTCACTGGGGGCAACCCGTCTTCCGGGCTAAAATCACTGATCATGGGCGGTCCCTCTCGATGCCAGAAGGACGCCGACCTGTTGGGCCACCTGGGAAATGAGCCGTGGGCATCAGAAAACAGGAAGAGGCAAACTGGAGAGGTACGACATTATACCAAAAAAAAATGGGGGGAGCTCCCCAAGCAAAATCCACCAGCCAAATAAATCCGGGGCCAGCGTTCGCTGGAACCTGCAGCCGACTCACCGCTGAGCCTTGCCGCCATGCAGCTCATCCTCTGGCGGCTCATCCTCTGGCGGCCCACCGGGAGGGAGGGGAGGCACCTCCCGCGCCGAAAGCCGCACTGCACTGCATCCGAGACTTTGCGCAAGGCCAAGGGGTGGTTTCCTGAAATTGTGCTCTTGGCACCACCTGTTCAGGGAGCATATCAAACCCGACCCGCTCAAAAGTTGGGCAGGCGGCCACTTGAGAGGAGCAGATCCAACCCGCCGAACCAAGAAACGCGAGCTCCGCCCCATCGCCTGAGCTCCCATCGCCAGCGCTCCACTCGCCTGCGGTTTGCGGGCAGCGTCCTCAGGGCGCTCACCAAACCCTTCTGCACTCCCCAGGCCTTTTCTCAGTTTTGGGGCGCGGCGCTTTCCTCACGCCACCCCCACGACTACACACCCAGGCTGTCCTTTGGTTTCCAATTGATAGATAACAATTGTACAGTCAGTCTTGCATCAGAATGGACGTCGCACCCTCTTGGCTTCCAGCCAAGAAAGAACAAACAGGACCCTTTTGGAAGTAACTACACCGTCTGCGGCGGTGAGCGCGTGGCAACCAGCCCTCTTTTGACAGAAGTGATGTGTGGCCCTCACGTCGACAAACACAGACCACGAAAACTCATCGACGAAAACACGAGCAAGAACGACTACAGATAGACCCCCAAACCAAAAACCGACAAAAGGCAAAAATCCAAAACACCGGCAAAGGACCATAAGCCCCTCTCCCCGACAGCAACCCCCAAAAAAACCCTCCAGAGCGCCCGGCACTGGAGCTGTCGCTGGAGCCAGATCCAGAGTCAGAGCTGGAGCTGGGCTCCTCGTGCTTTGGAGCCCAGTGGCTTGGCAGCTGGTAGCTTCCCATTGAATGTTGACCCCATTTTTATGTTTTTTTAATGAAGAAGAAGAAAAACGGTTATTCATATGGGGGTGTTCCCCTCCACAAGTCATGATTCCCACCAAAAACCAGGGAAACCCCCAGACTAATAACCGGGGTTTATTCATCCGTGGTGAACAAATTGCTCTTCACAAGCACAAGGGATTCAAACCCCCAGATCCCACAAATCCAAACCACCCATTGGGGAACCTGAAATTCCTGGGTGAAGCCGATACAACTAGCAGATTGAGATGGGGTAGCCTGTGAGCTCAAAATTTGTTTTTGTGTCCGTGTCTCAAGATAAACTGCCGGGAAACATGGGCTCCAAATGGGCGCCGTTCGGATGCGTGCCACAGCTGATGGTCCCTTGCCCCGTTGGCGATCGGAAGCTGAACCCTGCTAGTGAGGACCTGCTCAAGGTCCGACATTGGATCTTCTTGCCCAAAGGATGCCGTGCCGAGTCTCAAGCAAAATGTGTATCTCATCTATCCCTTGGTGGCTCCTTTTAGAAGAACCTCATCCCTTGAAAAGCTCGTGCTTGCTTATGTTGCTCCTCAGCAGCAAGATGGCCGACAAACGCCCCCCACGCGCCCCTGCCTTTGGCGCTTCCTTTGCCGGCGCCGCCGCCGGTGTTGCCTGTGCCGGCGCCTTCGCCTTTGCAGGTGGCAAAGCAGCTGCCTTCGCGCCCGGCGCTTTTGCCGCGTCCTGCTCAAGCGCACGGCAAACGCGAAACGAAACCGGCAGGGAGCAAATCTCCAAATGGGCTGCCCTCAGATCCCCCGCTAAAGCTTAACTTTTAGTGGGTTAAATGGAAACTACCACTAACCTCTCGAGGGAGTTCCCCACATTTCAAGAAGCACCAAGGGGAAGCGGCATGCACGAACAGCCCACCTCGACTCAACCAAGCATCCCGAATTTTGCTGAAAAATGTGTTTCCAGATCGTGGGTGATACATACCGCCACACCGCATTAGGATGTCGATAGACATAGGGACGACCTGCAAGAATGCCGTTGAGCTTGCGTTGAGGCACATTGCGTGGCATCCTGCGTGCTATGCCAAAGAAAACCAGAAAGAAGGGACCTCCTTGGCCACAGCCTTGGCCCCGCCTTGCTGCCGCTGCTGTCGCTGCTGCCGCTGCTGCTGTCGCTGCTGCCGCTGCTGCTGTCGCTGCTGCCCTGCAAGCTAAACGTCAGTACTGAGTCCAACGTGGATTTTGCAAGATCTGACTAGTTTTCGGATCCATAAACTTGAAAAAGCGAAGGTCACATCTGCAAGGGGCACCAAATACTCTGGATGGACGGCGCACCAGTTCGCACGACCCCATAAAAACCAAAGCCAGCCACCCCTCAAGAACGCGCCCCCGCCTCACTGGACGAGGACCGCTTGCGCGCAGGCCCCTGGACAAGGCTTTTCGACCCAGCGCCCGGCAAGCACGCCCAGCGAGCGTGCACCACAAAAGCAAGAACTGCTCACAACGCGTTCGGACCTGGCCAGAACGTGGGTGTGCCTCAACCGGAGGGGCTCCATCCTTGACATTTGAGCAAAGAAACTCAGCAGAGACACCAAGCAAGCACAAGGGGTCCCTTTCGTTTTGAGCCATACGAGTACCCTGCGGCCAATGCTTGCTCAGCCGTAGCATCCAATGCGGCCTCTCAGCGACCGAAAGAAGTCCCAAAGCAAGATCCAACTCGGACACGCTGACGAATCCACACCTGGAAACTGCATGGAGGCAGGGACACTGGATCGTCACATCACGTTTCACGCCTCCTCCTGCACCAGCACTGGCTCTTGCTGCGCCGTCACCACCGAGATCCAGCCCTCGTAAGGTTGACTGAGTTGGGCCTCGGGCAGGGCTTCTCATGCCACTTTCCAGCCATTTTCCGAGGCCACAAAAAAATGGAAGCGAGAGATTTACCGCACCCGACTGCCTGCCACATCTTTGAAGCAAATCGCTGGCGCCCCAAAAAAAAATAGAAAAAAGTGAACACATCTCTTTCGCCCCCACATTTTCTTGGGAGAAAAAAAGTGGAGTGGCTCTGCCCTTTCCAAGCCCACACCCCAAAAAACACCTTTCAGGCCGCACCCGCCTGTGTGAGATTCAACACGCTGTGGTGGCAGTTTCGGTTGGCAGGGAAACCAGCGGGCTAGGCCAAAGTGAACCTGTAACCTGGTGGTGAAGGCTCTTCCCAAAAAGCACTGACACCCGAGCGCAAACTGCACCTGTCCCCTGATCTTCCACGCAGGCCCTGAAAGGAAACTCCATCAAGATTGGACCACTCCATCCAAAAGGCTCTGGCAGCGAATGCACCGAATCCTTCCCGAAAGTGCACGGAAATCCGAAAATCCTCGAAATTCCCCACCTATTCCAGTGGCACGCACGTCAAATCCCGTGAGATGTCCACCTCGCACCCATCCTCTGCCCATCCCGGGCCCATCGGGCCCATCGGCTCGCTCCGCCAAGGCGCCCTTGGCCCGCGCACCTCTGCAATCAGCACCCGAGAGCCGGCCGGCAGCGCTCCTGAGAGCCAGGAGGCTTTTCTGACAGCTGGCTTTCCCCTTCAAAGCACCCGCAAGGATGCTTTTTTCGAGATATGCCCTTCTAGGTTGGGGGATTCTTGTCACTTTGTTTTGGGTGGTGTTGCTTTAGTGACATTGGGAGGGTGCTTGATGTTGATCTGGTGCTGCTCATCTTTAAGGTGGGGCGGGAAATCAGTCCCTCGCGTAGTGTCTTGGCTTGGAAACCCAGAAACCTGGGCTGTTCAAAGGCAGGCAACACAAGAGATTCTCAACCAGTGATGGTCTCCACAAATTCTGTCAACACCTTGCGGCATGCGAGCGGCATGCCAAAGGTTCATAAGTGTTGGATCCAATTCGGATCGCTTGGTAGGCGCGTGTTTAACTAGGGTACAGTACCCCAAAAAAAAATATCTGACAAGAATCCCCCCAAAAATAAATATATATATATATATATATACATCTATCTATCGCGTGATAACATTCACCCAGCAGGTTACAAGTTGGGTGGGCCGCAGGCAGGCGCCCCAAGCTGCGCACCTCGCCCCCTCCCGGCCTCGGAGCTCCGAGCGCTTGGCGCGGCCTTCGCGGACGTTGGCCTCCACCAACGTCCGGGCCCAGCCGGGGCCGATCTCGGTGCCAGGGAGATGGCGGGAGATGGCGGAAACGGCGGAAGGGGGGGGGGGGGGGTGAAGGGGTCGAGTGGGTGGAATCGGTTGCTTGTTTTTTACTGTTTTATTATGTTTCTATGTTGTTGTTTTGTTTTTTTAATGTTGTTTATTGCTTTTTGCTTGGCTGCTTGGGTTGGTTTGGTTGCTTGGGTTGGTTGATTGCTTGGTTGGTTGGCTTGGTTGGTTGGATTGGTTTGATTTGGTTGGTTTGGTGGCTTGATGGCTTGGTTGGCTCGGACCGGACATTCCGTCCTGGCAAAAGCGCGGAAAGGGAAAAAACTAGAGGACTTCTCCTTTGCCGCTGAGATCTGTTGCGGGTCTCGATGATTTCCGGCCATGAAAAGAATCGTCAGCCATGAAAATAACCCTCTTTTGAAACTGATTGTTGGTCACATCATGTTTATACACATAGATGCATATGTATCTATATACACTTTGTATGTTCTTTTTGTTCATGTAAAAGAGGGAAAAAAGATTCTGTAAAGTAGGGTGATTCTCCAGCAGCCGCCCCCGCTTCCCTTCACCTGCCGCCAGTTCGCCGGCGGCAGGTCTGCCAGGCTCAGCGCGTCGTCGTTGGTCTCGGGGCTGGTTCTCTCCACCTGCCGGCACAGGCTGAGCATTCCGAGATCTGAGATGGGCCCTACATTTTTCCAGGGGGCACCCTAGCGAACCAAAAAAACGATTCTTGACTTCCCCCCCCCCTTGGACCTGCAACGACTTTTCCAGGGAATGTTAGTGGTTCAACCTCCCAGACCTCCAGTGGATCTCCATGAGAAAGGCAGGGTCCTGCTCAGCTGCGAAGCATCGGAAGGTTCTCAGGGAATCAAGTTCCGAGCTTTGGGAATGAACCGGAAGGAGATCCGACCACATTCAAGGAACTACAAATGAAAATCGCAGAGGTCATTCCAACTCACTGCGAACCAGCAACGAAACTGTTGGATCTTATCGCACGGCTTTGTTGAAAGGGAACCAAAGGCACGCTTAGAGGACTGCTGGATGAGGAAGTCCTTGTGGGTGGTTTGCTTTCGGTTCCCTCCAACCAAGGCGTTACACTTGAGCACCCATGTTCCAAAGGACTGACTTCGAACAAAGATCCGAAGCCTTTTGAAATACACAGCCATTCGGAACGGCCGCTTGGGGGGGGTTCCAAGGCCTGTCAAAAGAGATCCTGTGAGGAGTGCCCTTTGCGAAGAACTGGGGGGGATTCCCTCACACTTCTCCTTCCCTGGTTGAAAGGGAGTGGCAAGTGGCCCACACCTTGGTCTACTTTGCAGCCCTGTGAGCAACCGATTTGAGATGTGGGCTTTCAAGGGCCCTCCCCTCCTCCCCGCTCCCCTCCCCCCTGCTTCTGGGACCCATCGCCAATTTGGTTTGGAGCTGGAAAACTTGGCTGGCTGCACTGACAGCTTCGGCGAGTTTGGCTCATGGCGATCTGCAAACACAAAAAAAAATGAGGAGGACGCGCAAACCCACGCTGCGCGCGCCAGCCTGTGTCGGAGCTTCTCGAAACCAAAGCACGTTGGCTTCCAGAACCGCTTCAAGCTCAAATGCGCCGTTTGGCGGATTTTGAACCAGTTGAAGCTTGGTTGCTGGCAATACCCCCCTGCAAAAATTGAACAAGTCTTTAGGGGGGTTATTGGAAAACCCCATTTTATGTCAACCCAGAAGTTAAAAAGTCTAAAGATCCGTTGCCCACTCGCAGTCAAGGAAGCGACCGGCGATCGGCGGCCTCCAAAGCCTCCACCGTCGCCTGCTTCTCCCACGAGGTGGAGATCCAGCCCGTGCGGGGCGAGGTGACTTGGGCCTGAATCAGGCCCAGCCCTGAGCCCTGTAAAAAAAATGTCTCTGTTTTTTTTTTGGAAAATAACAAAATAAATGTTACTCTGTGTTGTTCTTTTTTCTGGGGGGCCCGCATTTTGAGGGGCTGTTGGCACCCTTGCCCCGGCAAGGAAGGGAATTTGTGGGAGATGCTCCCACTGTTGGCACCCTCCATTCTGATTTGGAGTGGCCAAACAAGCAGACCTCTTCAAGCAACTCCTGAAAGCGGCCTGAAAAACGGACCCACGTTGGGAGGGGAGTTTGTGGGAGAGGCTCCCACTCACCCAGCTGGGTCCATGAAAGTGACATCCTCAAAATAGGGTGTTAAGGGAAACAAGCCCCAAAAGGACTTGGGAGAACCCCTCAAACTGTTCACTTTTAGGGGCCTGCCCGGTCCAAGGGTCGGAATTCTCCGCATGTTGCAGGGAGCCGACCGTCCTCTTGCGACTTCGCTGCACACCAAAGCGGCTCTCCCAAAAAGACACCCATTGCCTACCACCTTTCAAGGGAGTTTTTTGTTGGGTGTCACACATCGACAGTCCAGCCCAGGCGCCCGCATGCCAATGAGGCTCGCAATGAAGATCTCTTCTCCGGCCGGCAAGGTACCTCGGCTGCATCCCATCCTGCACAGTTCGAGGAAGCGTCTTCGTGCCCATTTGAGTGGGCGCACCAACCATTTCGGGCGACACATGAGGAGTTTGTATATAGTAACAGTATGTATTTGTGGCATTCACGCATCAGCCCCATCTCCATTGGCCTGGTCGCGCTACCTCTTTGCCACACTCGGTGTTGCCAAAAAAAGGAGCCCCCACGAACCTGGGAAGGGTCCAGGGTTCCACAAGTTGTTAAACACAAGCTGGACAAGGAAAGACCAGCTGCAGATGTAAAGGAACGGAGTTTGGTACCAGCACGAGTAGATCAAGTGCCCTGGAAGTTGCGTCAAAGATATGGAAAATGGCTCGCCCATGCCGCTTCCCACGAGCAACTGGAAGTTTCGAGCGACCTCTTCAACCAAATTGACCTAAGCCTTGATTGAAAGCACATGGGTAATTCAGAAGCTGACTGCGGGGTCCTGGAAGGCTATCTTCCTTTAAAGGGGACTGGTGGGTTTGATGTTAACAGACACTCACTGGATGAGTGGATGGCCCAAACAAAGTCCAAACTTTAGATTTACCACTAAAATGGTCCAACCCCAAGAAGTTTAAAGCTCATGATCTCAGGAAGTGAGGACAGGAGGACAACCCAAGAAGGGGCCGGCCCGGCCCCGCTGGACCCGAGCTGCCAACCACCTCCGAGCGCCTGGAGCGTCCCTCACGCAGCGTCAGCTCCCGCAGCGTCCGCGCCCAGCCCTCGCCCTACGGACGCCACTTGGTTGACGTTGGAAGGGGAGCAAAAATTCAAATTTTAGCAGTTGAGTGGATTTGGATTTCAACCACTAAACCACAACAAGCAAAAATGTATCTGATTAATAAATCCCCCCTCTGATTCCCTGCTTCTGATTCATAACCCCCCCTTTCCCTGAACAACTTTCCTCCCAACAGCTTGCCCATGGTCTCCCAACTTGAGTATGCAGTGCGAAGTATTGCTCGCAAAGTGGACCTTTTGTAGGCTTAATGGAAAAGACACGCGTTTCCAAAAGGTCCACGAAGCCTTTAAGGTCGCTCCACAGACCAGCACCTGAAGCAGTGGACGTAGGAAAACACGGCTGCTCGAGCTACCCTCTTTGCAGCGTAGCCTGATTGTTGCTAAAACGGGCAGTGCAAGCCCAGGATTCTAAAGCTGACTCTGCCGCGTCTTGTTTTGGAGGCGGCTTGTATGGAGGGTCAAGCCCTCCATAATCAACCAAGTTGATGAATCTGGGCTCGGCATTCGGGCTGCCCTTGGAAAGCGCCCATCTGTCTAACAAGCGAAAGCTCCCCAACCAGTGAGTTGCAATTTTGTAGAGACCCTTCATGAGTGTGCCTCTTTGAGGTACCCTCTTGAAAAGGCAGGACAGGGCAGTGCAAAAGCTGTGGTTCCTTGCCGTCGCAAAAGAATGCGCCCTGAAGATATGGCGCTTCCAGCCTAGAAATATTTGGTCATGGCAAGGGTGGGGACAGGGCCAGTCTTTGGTCGGACCCGCTACCTTCGGGACCTTCATGGGCCCGAAAGGACACTCGTTCCCGGACAAATGCCAAGACTTGTTCGCGGTTCCAAGACCGGAGATTCTAGGGCTCAACCACCATTAAAAAGTGGCCTGAGCCCACTTCGCATTAGGAAACTTCCACATGCACCAACCTCCTTTCAGTTCTTTGGGGCTGCATTTATGAAAGCCAACCTCCGCTTGGTTCTTTGGGGTTGCTGAAGGTCAACTTTAAGGCCCAGCCCTGGTTGGTTTACGAGGCCCCGAAATCGGATTCTCCACAAGGCGCGATCGCTGCAGCTTCAGCATCTTCGCTGCCATCCTCCATGTCAGCTCCTGCACAAACCCGCTCGGCAAAACTCAGACAAAGATAACGCGTTCCTGAAAGCGACGCTTCCTGAAAGCATGTCGTGCAAAACCAGTTTGACACAATCAACCCATCCTGCGCCGTAAGCCGTAAGCCCAATAAAAAAAAAAATGAACCTGGCAAGCACGCGGTGCTTGGCACCAATTTGCGTAGTCAAATCGCCACCAACACCCGCTCTCCTTAGAAAGTCTGGCCCGCCAGGCCCGCCAGGCCCGCCGGCCAACTGTAACCCCTCGCGCGCCTCACGGCGCACGGCCGCCTCGCCGAGCCCGCGCCATGGCCGCGACCGCGGCTTCCCCAGGCCAAGGCGCGCGCCGAAGGCGCGCGCCTTCGCGGGGGCGCCCGGGCGGACGTGTGGTGCACGGAAAACGGTGAGGCGTGAAGCCATGCTTGGAGTCAGGCCAACGATTTGATTTTGAAATCGGTTAAAAGAGTCTTTGCGTTGGCTAGGCCGCGCTGATATGCTGTGCTGCTGCTGGACCTGCAATCGGTCGGATTCAACGTGCGCAGGCCCGTGGCTTGCAACATGTCGCAAAACAGGGGAACTCACTTCAATCCAACCCAAAAGGTGCACCCTTGAGAAAACAAGACACCCTTCACTTGGGCAACCCGGTAGGTTCCAGGTTCTATCCGAAGTCTGCACTCAGGTCGCAGTCCGCATGTTTTTGCACCAGATTGCGCCAGGCGCTTGGCCCCGGGGCTATGGCGCTTGCCAGATCGGCTCAGGGGTCAACGTGCTGTCCGGAGGCTTCACCTGACCAGTGGGATCGAATTTGAACCAGGCGCGGCCCCTTGGACATCAGTTTCTTCGGAGAGTCATGCCCACCAGGCACCTTGGAGGCAGCTCCCTCTTGAATTCATCCAAATCGAGAAAGCCTCATGGCTTGACGTCCACAGATCCCCTGCAACAAGTGCCATGGAGGCCAAAGAAAGTTCGGCTGGACCTCCAAAGGCCCCATGCAACAACTGCACGGAGGGCTTTTGGAATGAGCCTCGAAGCACAGCACCACGGACCGCAGCTCCGCGTTGCGGAAGGCGGCCTTCGAACCCCAGGCCAGGTGGTGCGCGAAGAGTCGGGAGAGGAAGCCTCCGAAGCCGCACCAGCCGCACCAAGTAGGACATGGGTCCGTGATTTTTTTTAGGGGAGCCCCACAGAACCAATCTCGGTTGCTTGCGGCTCCCCTGCTAAAGGTGACTCTAACCCTTAAAAAAAAAAAAAAAAAAAATGCAAAAAGCTGAGGTCCTAACATCCCTTGGCAAAATGCATCAAAGAAATTGTGGCTTCCCTTTCCTTTACACCAAACCAAAAGAGGGTTCCCGTGATTGATTCATAAACTATCGTGGGGATTCATCCATCACTTTTAGAAGGAACCACTCCAATAGGACGGGTCCACTAATCCGGGGTCAGCGTTAGCAGCTTGCCAAGTGATTTGGATTGGCGAGTTAGGTGGTTTCGAACAGAAGCCCTCTATAAGAACGAGTCGCGGTCCAAAGCTCCAAGCCAACTGAGGGGGCACCAAGTACCCCCCCTTTCTCTCCTAGCATTTGCCCTCCCTACCCTAACATATCACCAGTGGGAAGGTACCTGGAAGAACCATTTTCTCTTAAAGCGACCTCTTGTCAGGTGCCATGTGAGTGGGTGGGAGGGTAAGCACCAAGTGTTCAACCAAGCTCTTCCCTTTGAAGTACGCCAGGTTCCAGGGGCTCTAACCGCACCCACTCAGGTTCCATGTCGAAACTACCCAAACCTCCCCTTTCTTGCTCCGCGCCAGTGTGGGACACCACGGCGATGCTTTTCTGCGGCATCTCTGCCAGGAGCGCCAGAAGCTGCCGGCAGCGGGAGTCCACATCCTCCGGAGATTCCTGCGACGCAGCCGGGGCGAAAAATATATTTTGCCACAACGCTGCTGGCACAGGGAAACCTGACTCGGTTGCTTTTCGCTCCCCTGCTAAACGTCTAACCTTTAGTGGTTTAGTGGAAAACCCATCAGTTGGCAAAACGTTAAAGTCCTAACCAAGCAACATGCACTTCTGACAACCCCAACCTTTCCCGCAGCCCAAGTGAACCTTCTCTGTTGCTTTCTGCTAAGAAAGCCTACCCTTTTGGGTGTCTTCTCTCCCAGCCTTCCGGGCGGCGAAGCTATCCTCGCCCTCCGGGACCTGCCGGTCCAAACCAACGATTTGGGCCCGGGAAGACGAGGATGTTCCGTTCAAGGGGGGCCATTTCTCCGGCGGGTTCCATGGTAAAACTGGTGGCCAGGAGGGGTTAAGAAGGGGAGAAATTAGGCAACCAAAAGGGTGCGAGGTTCCAAATGTCCCAACCCACCTTTCGAGGCCAGAAGGCGAGGTTCAAAGCCACTTCAAAGCCATGATTGGACCTAAGCCCAGGTCTAAAATATGTATCTTTTATTGCTTGCTTCACTTTGAGTCACTGGAAAAAATGCAAAATGTATCCTAAGTCTACCCCAGCAGCGGAAGTATCCGCAAACCCCGCCTGCCGGAAGTCCACGAAGCCGAAGCCCGCCGCCTGCGCGCTCTTCGCCCGGCGGTGGTCGCAGGGTCGTGCGTGTCCTGCTCCGTGGCTGCGCCGGTCCGAAAGAACCGTCATCATTGCAAGGGAGCCAAGGACCCATGGGCTTGTTAACCAGGGAACCGGCTTGTTGAACCCCGAGCTCGTGATTTCCACGGAAGACTTGGGGCTCTTTTCGCTCAACACAGCGTGACAGCCACTTGCCGTCGCTTGCCGCCGTCGCTCTCCTTCACTGAACTCCCGCGCGGACTCCACGGCCAGCCAGGGCACGCTTCTGTCAGTGAAAGCGAGGCTGGCAGTTTGGAGGGTGCGCCGCAGCGGGGAGCACACCACCGCCTGCCACAGCCCCTTCCAATTTTCCCCGCGGGCATGATGTGGGTGCGTCGACTTTTTTCAGGAACCCCCCCCCCCAAACTAAAAAAGAGAAAGGCGAGATCTACCCTTTGGCTTCCCAAAAAGGAGGTCCCGAAAAACATGCACCCATGGGTGAAAACGGTTTCCAAGGCTAAGGCCGCCTCATACTGCAAGCCCTGCACCTCAAGCTGCAGCTCCGCACACTGAGCCTCCCAAGTGCTGACACATGCCGTGCGTGTGCAACGGTCAGGGTTCCCTGCCGGCTTCCAGCTCCAATCGACGAAACGTGGTGTGCGGTCTCCTTCTGACTCGCACATCTGGTTCCAGGCTCTTGCGCGCGAACAAACGCCCGCCTGGCCCTTTTCGGACAGCACGGAATCGAAGTACTGTTCATCCGCATACGCAGCGAGGTAACCAGCAGAATCCCTGTCCGCAAAGCAAGAAGCAGAGAGAGGTTCAAGCCACGAAACCTTTGATAATGGAACTTCCAGTTGGGCAGCTGGCTGCTCGAAATGATCTGAAACTCACACAGCCGACCGCCTGGGAAACTGATGTGCCGCGGCGTTGGACTCAGCCTGGCACCGCCAAGTGGTTGCAGCAGGGTTGGGCCACGACAAAAACGGAAAGGAAACAGAAAGGAATAAGCCCTTTCTCTTCCCGTCCTTTCCTTCCCTTCAACCCAATTTGAAGTGCTCAGCTCCACAGGGGAAACGAAGCAGCCAGCCGTTCAACTGCCCGAGCCTCATTTTGGTCATTAACCAAAACACCAACACGGCAGTGCGCCTCGGCATGGCGCACGAAGTGGACCACTTTGCATTGGCTCCAGGGATGGCATGCCGAGATCATCGAACAAGCGGCAAATGCCAGTGACACCTAGATGCCCTTGTGTAGTGAGGCGTTTTTGCTGACCTGGATTCATCCGCTCATCGGCTTGGTTGGCTGTATCTCCTCGGGTTGCAAACGCACATAGAGCACCTTTGCTTACGTGTGTATCAGTCGTGAAGAACTTGGACAAAGTTTCTTTAACAAATTTGGCTTGAGCTTCTGATCGAGAGACTAACAAGCCTTCAGCCAGTGTGTGTGTGTGTGTGTGTGTGTGTGTCCGTTCCTTGGCTGCACCATTTCTTGTGTCTAAAATTGCCACAGCTGCCTTCCCAAAAGCAAGGTTTCACAGCACAAGTATGATGACGCGCAAACCTACACACTCAAACCTGCATGAAACGCACAAGGGTTGTTCAAACAACACTGCATGAACAAACGAACCTGCACCCTAGCAAGCGCCAGGCGCGAACACAGCATGGGAGCTCTCTCTGACTTCTGCAGCGAATCAACTACGCCAATCAGGAAGCACGATGACACCGCGACCAGGAACCACTATGCTCTACACCCTGATGAATTGAGCATCGCGTGTTTTTCGCAAAATGAGGATGAGTCCGCGGCTACAAACCTTTCGGAACGCCAACCAGGGAGCCGCAAGGAGCGGGCTTCCCCGCAAAGGGCTGGTTTTCGTAGAGTGCTGTCGGCCCCACCCCGCCGAATTGAGAAAACTCCTCTCATGAAAACTCTCATGAGCATGGCTCCTCGCAGGTGGCTCATGAGCATTGCTCCTCGCCAGTGGCTCTCGCGACACGAGCATTGCGCCTCGCAAGTGACTCCCCAACGGAAGAGCCCTTGACCTATTCAGGCGTTTGGCCGCAGGAAACCGCGACAACAGCGGCGCGCGGGCAGTTGGCTGCTTTGGCTCCAACAGACAAGCGGCAGTGTGAGTGCATCAGCGTGGTCGACGTGAGAAAATATGAGGACATTTTACGATATCGGCGGTGCGCGCGCGACCCTCGGCGGAGATCGGCGTCGATGTAAAACAACTGTTGGTTTTTTTACGATTTTTATCATGCCCGAGCAACCCGCTCTCGCTGTGGCGCCGTGCGAATTCGTTGCTTGCGCACGGGTCTTTGGAAGTTGTGGAGTCCGCGGCAGCTTTTCCAGACAGAAATCGCAACATTTAAATTGCAAACGTAGTACGCGGAGTGCAGTCCTGCAGCTCCGGCTGCATGATGGAACTGTTCGAGTAAAGAACGCTTGTTCAGAGCAACTTGCACAGAGCGCTTACGCAGAGCAACCTGCGCAGCAACTTCCACAGAGCACTTGCACGGAGCAAAAATGCAGCCCAACGAGTTGCTCGTGGCCTTCCTTGACCACCATTGCCCGGCCGGACCGAGTGGGCCTCGCTCACCAGAACCTTGCAGGTGAGCTCTGGGCGCACTGCCGAGTGTTCTTGACCACCTCGACAGCCCCGACCCACAGCCAGCTTGCTTTGCGGCGGCTGCCGCAGCACGTGAAGCACTCGGCCACTCCGGCTCCCCGCGGCGTGGCGGGAGCTGTCTGCTGGTGAGGGCGCGCCCGTGGTGCAGGAGGAGGGGCCTTCCACCTTCCTTCGTGGCTGGCAGGGCCATCGTGAGACCTTGCTGGCAGGCGCCGATCCTGCTGCCCAAGCGATTTTGCACTCCCAGTCGGGCCTTTCGCTAGCCGTTTCCTCACTACAGTGCCAGTCTCATCAGCCTTGTCCTATCCCTGCCATCTCTTCCGTGTTCTCCTCCTGCGCCGCCTGCGCCTCCCCTTGCCTCTTGCTGAGCGCACCTGCCGGTGCCGTCGCCTTCTGGACCCCTTCGGCGACCATCGTGCAGCCTGCGCCCGGGCAAGTGTGCTCCGAGGGCGCGGGTGTCCGCTGGCTGGAGCGTGCGGCCGCACGCGTTTGCAGAGAAGCTGGAGCCTCACCTCCAACACACGCCTTGCGGACCTGAACCTTCAAGTTGACTGTCAGGCCAGGGCCAGCCCGTTTGGCGCGGGGGTCAAGTCGCTGGTGCTGCCCTCGCCGTGGCGCGCCGTCGCAAAGAGCGGGCCTACCCAGAGCTCGTGCGGGCGCACAGATGCCGGTTGGTCGTGCTTGCAGTCGAGGTTGGCGGGCGGTGGAGTGATGAGGCCGCCTCCTTCATCCTGTCCTTGGCCCGCGCCCGTGCACTTGAAGCGCCAGCTCGGCTGCGCCCCAGTGTTGTCGGCGCTCTTGTTGCCAGGTGGTCGGCCCAGCTGACCCATGCAGCCATGACAGCCTTTGCTTCGTCCCTTCTCAGGCAGGCTGCCGGGCCGGAGCTTTGCAATGCCGGGGGTGGCACCCTGCCTCCCCTCGGCACCTTGCTGGCTGATCTTGCCCACGTGCCACCGGCGGGCGCATCCCGCTTGCCCGGCTGGTGAGCCGCACAGCCGTATACAAATGGCTGCCCCTTAATGCCCCCTAAGCACATCCGGGGGCCGCCGGTTCATAAGTGGCCTGCAGAAGCAGACGGAAAAAGGCGCGAGACAAAAATTGTTCCGTTGGGAGAAATATTACCATGAGAGTCATTGCACAAAGTCATCCTGAGAGTGATTGAACGGATCCATCACAAGAGTCATTTTTCTCATTGCTATCATGAGAGTCGTGGTACGTGTGTTTTTTTCTCCCACCTTTTTCCACGCATCACAGGTGAAACGCCAGCTGAAACAGACCAGCACCGCAGCGGCGACCTACGCCCCCCACGCCCAGCGCGAGGCGCGCGAAGGCAGGCGGCTCGCGCCCGCATCCGCGGCAAGCCTGAGCACGTGCTCCAGCGGTCGGGCAGGCCGGGGCCCTGAGGCGATGCCGGCCATGCGCGGCCCAAGGCCGTGGACCCAACGGCCTGCTGCACCGCAGCCGAAAGCTGTGCCCACCAGCGCCGCTGCCGGTGCACAGCTGGGGGGGCCCGCAAGCTGCGACAGCGTGCAAGGTCCCGCACGAGCCCTCGTCATTCCAGCGCCCGCCTCTCTCCGAGCCAAGCACCAGGAGCCGCTGCGGCCCCTGAGCCAGCAACTCAGGGTACGTCGCAAAGCCGCCCCGTCCTCCTCCGACCCCGGGGCTGACACCAGTGTGGTGTTGCAGCAGAGCGCCTCCCCCCGCAGGGAAACACCGTAGATGACCAGGTACAAGCGGCGTCTGTCCCGCGCGTCGACACCCACGGCTGTGGTGTGGGCGAGCCACTGCTGCGGCACCACCTGACCCTCTGGGCCCACAGCCTCGCGCGCGACCCGCACCCAGGCCGAGCGAGCAGACCAGTCTGCGGGCAAGCAAGAGCATGATGCCCGAAAGCGTCAGCGACGCCTCCGCATCCGGGCCCCTTGCCCCCACACCGGTTGGGAGCGATGGGCAGCGGGAGCCGCATGCTGTGCAGGCGGCGGCGTGCGCTGCTTGCACGCGGGCCGCAAGCAACGCCGCGCGAGGGAAGAGAGTGCGCGCGGCTGCTGGAGGGGCGGGGTTTGTTGCTGGGAGCACGCAAGCGCCGTCGAGCCAACCCATGGGCGGCTTTCCGGGTCGGGGAGGATTTGCAACCAGGGCCCAACCAGGATGCCCGACGGCAGCGTGCCCTGCACGCGCTGGCGCAGATGGGGCTCACGTCGGAGATCCCCGCGTCGCAAGAGCTGGAGCCTCCGCCTTCGCCAGGCGCGTCCGAGGCAGACACGCTGTTCGCCACGGGCTCCGGGAGAAGTCGCTCCCACTGCGCCGGACGTCGCTACGCCTGGATTCACTCCCACGGCAGCGCCGGCACACTGGGACGGAGTGGGCCCTCCTACTGAGCACCTGGGGTGAGGCTGTCATGGCTTTACGTTCCCTTGCTGCATGCGGCTGCGGGCACTCTCGCCCCCGGCACAGGCGCGACCTGGGCCGCTATCGTTGCGACCCTGCGTGACGGGCCGCCAGTGGACCCGCAGCTTTTGGCAAGAATGGCGCACGAAACAGCTGAGGCTGAGGTCGCGGCGGGAAAGGCCACTGAGCATGAGCTCGCTCTTGTTGCTCGCAGCGTCCGGCTTCGCGGCCAGGCCATGTCCTTCTCTTCTTGCGCTTGGCTGCGATTTTCCCCTCAAGCCCACGGCAGTCCACGACGAGCCGCGCTTGCTTGGAGTCCAGCCACTTTGCGCTCCATGATGTGCGCCTGAGATAGCACTGCCACAAATTCGCAAAACCTGACCTGGTCGCGAGCAATACGCAACGACAAGTCCCAGCAACATAAATTTTGTTCCTGCTATGTTGCCACCAACCGGACCCCCCCCTCACACAAGTTTGCCAAGCACGTCAAAGATGACACAAGTACCCACCCGCCATAGCGTGCAAGTTCGCTGCGCTTCCACGTGCTGCCTGCAGCAAGGCGAGCCAGTCGCCTCGTTGGAAAGCGCCCACTCTATCCAAGAGCGCTTTCCTCCCCTCCGGCCCTTTTTTCCCGACGCGCGCAAGCAGCATGCGTGGGGCCAGCACAAAAAGCCTGCAAGCCCGTGCGCAGGAGGCGGGGTCGCTGGCACTTGGCGCGTCATGGGCAGCACGGACTTCGCGCAAGACTCGCACCAGCGCAGCGCGCAGCGCCAAGCGCCGAAAGCCCGGCACGTCCTGCAGAGTGGCGACAGGATATGGTAACTCCGTGGCGAGATCAGCATCATCGAGCGCGCGCCACGCAGCAGCGGACGGCACGCGGCGCACTGGGTTGCTGCTGGGCAGTGAGGTGTGGGAACCCTCATTGACAGAGGCCATGTCTCTTTGTACGCCTGGGGCCTCCGCTCAGGGGCTGGCTCGCGCCCCACGCCGTCTACGCCGGCCGGCCCGTGGAGCGGGCGCAGCCCGGGCACCTTCCTCCCACATCCGCCGGACTTCTGACGCGAGAGTATGGGCACAAGCGGCGGTCGCAGCCGCGTACAGGCGCCGGTGAGGGCAGATGCTCGCAGTCGCAGCGCAGGGAGCGTTCGCTGCGAGCCTCTGCCAACTCCCCACCGACGTTGGCGACGCGTACGCCAGCGCGCCGCTGGAGGGCGAT